CAAATAAATAAATAAAATCTTTAAAAAAATAAAATAAAAAAAAATATTTTACTTGGTCATCACGTGAATTGCTGGTGTCTCTGACTAGGATGCAAGTTCCTGAGGTCCAGGACTCCGGCTGCTATTCCCAGGGTTTCCCCAGCACCGGCAGGGTGTGCACTGGATTGGTATGTGTAGAAGGACTGAATACAGCACTGACCACATGCCGGGCACAGGTGTGGATGCTTTAGAAATAGTAGCTTGTTTCATCCTCACAACAGCCCCAAGGATGGCATTTTGCAGATGGGCAAACTGAGGCACAGACAGTGGGAGCAACTTGCCCATGGCCTCACTGCAGGTAGGGAACAGAGCCAGGATTCGAACCTAGGCAGATGAGCTCCGGAATCCTTTTCTGCCTCTTTGTTCCCCGGTGTCACTTCGGGTGCATGCGTCAGGGGTAGGTATCCTCCTCCCTGAGTCTAAAGCTTCTTGGATGAGGCTGCTGGTTGGGTTTCTGTCTTGCTGCAGAGTGAGCTGTGTCTTGTGGGGGCTGAGCGGATGTCAGGCAGTGGACAGAGGTGAAGGGCAGCACATACCTTATGCTCTGGACGATGGTGAGGCTTATGCCCCCTATCAGCATCATGGCCCCTATATTTCCAGCCACGAGGAGGCCGATAGCAGCTCCTCCTGACACGGTGAGAACGGGGTCTGGCTCGATGGGCTGAGCGTCTGTGGGATCCACGTTGTCTTCTGGGGACCAAGAAGGGGCGAGACTGGAGGAGCCATCCTCCCTCCACACCGCCGCCTCCCACCATTTCACCTCCTGAGCATGTCTTCAGTCTACCCCCTCCTTCCCATCCTCTGGCCTCCACCCCAGCCTCCTCCTGGATCTCCTGCCCCAGTCCCTTCCCCTCCCACCTCCCCACCCCTAGAAGCCAGAGGGGTCTGTGGAAAGCTCAAACGTGACCCTGTTCGTCCCCAGCTCAGAACCTTGCTGTGGCTTCCCAGGACCTGGAGAGGAAGCATCCTTCATTTTGGCCTTTGAGGCCCTGCCACTCGGCCAGCCTCAGCTCTCTCTCTCTCTCCCTACCTTGTTAACTTAGTTCCATGGGACTCTACTCAATTTCTGAGCTCACCTCTCTCTTCTACCTCCTGGCCTTTGTACCCCCTAGAATGCTATTTATGCCATTTTCCTCCCCTTGGCCTGGATAATTCCTATGTATCCTAGTACCAGCTCAGATGTCCCCTCCTCCAGGAAGCCCTCCCTGACCCGCTTGCTGGGTCAGGTGGCCCCTTGGCTCCCCCACCCCAGTCTTGCCCACTCTGGTCATTACTGTTTGTGGACGGGTCTGTCCCCTACCAGTCTGTCCCCCACTCAAACATTACTGTTTGGGGACAGGGCCCGGGCTGTCTCCAGAATGTCCCCAACACCACCCAGCACGGGCTGGTCATGTGGTAGGCAGCCAATAAACATTTCCAGAATAGTTGATGGACGAATAAAGGGGGACCTGAAAGTCATTCTCAATGAACATAACAGAGTCACCTGCTGCTACAGGATTTAAACTTTTTTCTCCCAGTGAATCACCCCCAAACCAAATCCTGAAGCTCCTACTAGAGCCTGGCTGGGAAGAAATGGCAGCTCTCTGGGACCCAGCCAAGCCAGATTTTCCATCACCCTTGCCTTTTCCATGCTCTGGACCTTTGCTCATGTGTTCCCTGCTGCCCAAGTCCCTCCCCTACTTCTCCACCGGCCAGGTCCTCTGTACCATTTTAGCTGGTTCCAGGCCTCTCGTCCTCCATGCATAAATACACGAAAAATAATATTCATGAGGATAGCTGCTATTTAAAGGACCTGCTTGCTTTCTTCTTCTTTTTTTTCGGTAGGCTCCACGCCCACCGTGGGGCTTGAGTTCACGACCCCAAGATCAAGAGTCTCATGCTCCCCCGACAGAACAAGCCAGGTGCCCTTTAAGCACCTCCTTTCCAACAGGTGTTCTGCTGGCCTCAATCATGTATTATTTCTGCTCCTTATGACAATCTTGCAGAGGTATACACAGTCACCCCCATTATACACAGGAAGAAACAGAGGCTCAGAGAAGGGATGTCACTTATCTTAAGTCACCTGGCCAGGAAGGCACAAGGGCGGGAATTGAATCCAGGTTTAACCAGCTCCCAGACCACTTTCCTGATCCCAACAGGCTGTTCTTGTTACTGCCCCCTGGGGCTCCACACGTGCCACCGCATACAGTAATAGTCACAAAATTAATAATAATGTGGATAATGGTATTTGCAGCCACGATACTAGCTCATGCTTTCTGAGCACTCACTCGTGTCCAGTAACACTGGGCTCTATTATTTTAAGCTGTTCACCTCCTTATCTCATTGAATGCTCACAACTATACTTCAGGGTGGGCGCTATTATTTTCCCAATTTACAGATGAGGACACTGAGGCACAGAGAAGTCAAGGCAGTGGTCTAAAGTCACACAGCTAGGAAGTGGTGAAGCCAGAATTCAAACTCCAAAGCCTGTGCTCAGAACCACTCATTATCACCTGCATTTTTTTTTTTTTTGCAGGTATGTGCTGAGACCTAGAGAGGTTAAGTTCACACAGCCAGCCAATAGTTGGAGCCGGGATCCAGATCACTGGCTCCAGATCCTGAGCTGAGCTTTTGTTCGAGCTCATCTCTGTCAGCTGCAGCCTCTGTAAAATGGGCTAATAATCCCCACTCTGCCAGGCAGATGGAAGGACGGGATGACATCTTGGCTGGAGAGGGGCTCAGAGTGGACCGCTCTGTAGGTGGCTCAATGCAACCAAGGATGCAGAAGTCTGGGGTGGGGGCGGGGGGACTCACGTGGCAGCGAGAGGGTCACAGGATAGGAGGAACACTGTCCCTGGCTGTTCTTGGCCGTGCACACGTAGGTGCCCAGATGTTCCAGGGACAACCTCCGGATGATCAGCATAGTCCCAATCTTGTAGGGCTTCCCGTTGAAGGTCCAGTGCAGCGTGGGCTTGGGGGTGGTAGAAGGAGCCAGGCACTCCAGGATCACTGAGTAGTTGAGGTCACTTTGGATAACGCCCTCGAAGACATAAGGGAATGTCAGCAGCATCACTCCGTTGGAGCTGGCTGTGCAAACAGAGAGCAAGGCCACATGGATGGAGGCCCCTCAAAGAGGCTGAGCACTCCTTTTGTCCAACACAGGGACATTCATTCATTCATTCATTCATCAACAAATGTGTCTGGAGTTCCTGATGGGTGCCCAGTGCTGCTCCAGACACGGGGCGTTTACCCTCACCCTCACCGCTTCCAACTGCCACATTGCACCTGTTGCCTGGGCACTTTCTCCGGCTGCCAGAGCCTGCTCTGGCCAAGGTGGAAGCAGGCCAGGGCGCTACGCGATGACTGGCATGGGCTGGTATATAAATATCCCAGCTGCCCAGCCCTCAGCTGACCCAGGGTGAGGCCGAAGAGCTGGGAGGAGTGGCTGGATTCTGGATTAGTTTGAAAGCAGAGCCCACAGGATTTGCTGATGGATTGGAGAGAAAGAGAGGAGTCAAGAGGGGGTCTCCAAAGGCTCGGGACCTGCGCCTGGCTGCTGGGAACCCTCTTTACAGAGATGGGGCATCCATAATAGTTCTCTTTCCAGGTTAAAGACTTGAGGTCCAGGGGTTCTGAGGCTCAGGCTTCATGGTCAGAGAGAGGCACAGCGAGTATTTGAGCCTGGAAGTCTGATGTTGTGGTGAGTACCTGGAGCCTCCACACTGAGCTGATTTCCAATTTCAATGCAATATGATAAAGTGAAAAGAACTTTAGCTCAAACCAAGAACCCATGGAAGGCTTCCTGGAGGAGGTGGTGAATCAGCTAAGCCTGGCAGGAGGAGAAAGAGCCCACCAGGTGTAGAAACAAGAATCAATGTAATATCCACTTGGATCTGGCTCTTACTAGAAGCCAAACACCATTCCAAACACATGCTAACTCATGGCCGGTTATGAGTGAGTGAGACCCATCCATGCTTGGACGAAATCATTTGGAAAGTTGTAATCAGGGGCTCCTGGGTGGCTCAGTCGTTAAGCGTCTGCCTTCGGCTCAGGTCATGGTCCCAGGGTCCTGGGATGGAGCCCCGCGTCGGGCTGTCTGCTCAGCGGGAAGCCTGCTTCTCCCTCTCCCACTCCCCCTGCTTGTGTTCCCTCTCTCGCTATGTCTCTGTCAAATAAATAAATAAACTCTTAAAAAAAAAAAAAGAAAGTTGTAATCAGCACTTGAAATGTGACATGAACTATAATACCATAGAAAATATCAGAATGCATTGCTCGTAGCAATAACTGTTATTTTATGACATGTGTCTTACGCGCGCGTGCTCGCGCGTGTGTGTGTGTGTGTGTGTGTATACAAGTACACACCAGGTCATGATGTGAAGTTCATTTCTCACTGTGGGTCATGACTGAAAAAGCTTAAAAAACACCAGATTTGCTCACTGAAATCCTCAACACAACCCTATGGGGTAGGTTCTACCATGAGTCCATTTTACAGATGAAGACACTGAAGTACACAGATGGGAAGTACCTTTGCAAGGACACAAGTCACTGGTGGGGCAGCCACGTCTTTGCAAGGCTGTCCTGGTCTCAGAGGCTGCACAAGCTCCAGGCTGAGCATGGCTTGGGCACGGGAGGTGGGGGAACTCTCCCCACCTTTGGTACCCTGAAGATGGTGCTGGGCTAGAGAGGCCGTGGGAAAGGAGATAAGCTCCAGGACCATAGAGAGTCCTGTAGAATCCCAGGTTGGCCTTTTGCTTCTAGGTGACCACAGGCCATTGACATCACCTCTCGGTCTTAGTTCCCCACCTGTGCAGTGGGGTTGGTGCTCGGAGCATCTACTTTCTTGGGTCGTTGTGAAATCCCCTGTGTTTGGTGAGTAGCGAGGGCTCAGTAAGTTGCAGCCTGTCCTTCCTGCTTTTTGGTGTTGACTCCAGCTGGTCTCTCTAAAGGAGAACTTTCTCCCACTCTTCACGGGGCAAACTCCTGATTGGCTTTACAGGTCCCAGCTCGGATGGCCCCTCCTCTGGGGAGCCCTACCTGTCTCCTAGGCTAGGTTCTTGCGTGTCCCTGCCCACGAGCCCAGCCCCACCCAGGACAGAGAAGGCACTAAAAAAGGATTTGATGCATATGTAAGAATCAGCGTCGGTAAGTGTTTTGTTGAGTGGAAATCTCAGGCCCCGCATGGTCAGCCCTGCAGACCACCAGCTCTACCTGCCTTCCCAAGTCACACTGAAAAGCCAACGGCCTCGCATGGCCTGCACCCCCTATACGGTTCTGCGCACAATTTCTTGTGCTCTCCAGATCTCTCTTGCCCCTCCAGCCTTGCCCACGCTGCTCTCTCTGCCTGAGAACTCGGTCCCTCTCGGCCCCACTCACCCTGGCCAAGTATTTGCTCTGTCGCACTCCTGCGTCCTCTGCTGGTTTCCAGCACTGTGTCTTGAGCTGTTGCATTTCCGATGCTCAGGCTGCTTTGGGTATCCAGTGTCTCCTGGCCGATGTGGTTGGGCCCTGGGTAGCCCTCAGGGGAGAAGATCATGGTTTCTGGCCGGGCCTTGTGCCCTTGGAACCAAGAAGTGGAGAGAACACCATTCGGGCTTCTGGGGACAGGCAGGCGGGCACTGGCTCCTTCGGTCAAGGGGTCTGGAGATGCGGGGGCAGGCAGGTCCAAGGAGGCAGAACAGGTGCAGGATGCGATCAGGATGCCTTGGAGGATGTGGGAAAGGAGAGGAGAGAGCAGAGGGAGCAAATGGGACCAAAGGCGAGATGATGCCCCAGCAAATAAACTTTCCCGAGCTGGCGAGGAGTGTGGCACATCAAGAGCTGATAACAGTGATAATGACAGAAATAGTGTAGGGGGGGCGCCTGGGTAGCTCGGTTGGTTAAGTGTCTGACTACTGATTTCTGCTCAGGTCATGATCTCGGGGTCCTGGGCTCGAGCTCCATACACAGCGGGAAGTCTGCTTGAGGATTCTCTCTCTCTCCCTCTTCCTTTGCCCCTCCCCCTGCTTGCTCACTCTCTCTCTTTCTCTCTCTCTCAAATAAATAAATCTTTAAAAAAAAGAAATAAAAGGGAACATTCACTGAGCACCTCCTACAATCCAGACACTGTTCTAAGCAATGAACATATATTATCTTACTTACTCCTTCATCGACCCCACCAAGCACACATTATTCAGGGTATCCTGCAGATCCATTCTCTGACCTCGGCCCTGCTCTGCTTCCTGAAAGGCTGACTTCTTTGAGCTGCATCATCAGGTCCCCATGTCTTTTGCTTCCAGTTGGCTTCTGCCAATGGGAGTGACCTTGAAGTAGCTGGTCCCACAGCTCCCTCCCTGCTCCATCAACATGGGTCGGCTCTGTCCCTCTAATAAGGCTGCCGTTGGTGTCCCTCTCCATACACCACTGTCTTTGGGTTTTGGGGGTCTGCTCTTCCTCTTACACGGCTTCTAGCACAGAGGTAGTAACGGCTTTCTGCTGTGGCTAGTCCCTGGGTGTTGCACAATCTCAGGTGGGTTTACCTATGTCCTGCCTACACCTCTGCAAATAGTCCCTTTATTAACCCCCGTCATTACTCCTTTTGAGTAGACCATTTCCTACCTCAACCCTGAGTGACACAATTATTATACCCCCAGGAGGACTGAGGAAATGGAAGCTCAGAGAACTGAAGACCATTGTCCAGGATGTCATAGGTGATAAACAGCAGGGCTGTGAGCCACACCCAGGCAGGCAAAATTCTGTCAGTAAAGTAGACTGGTGAGTGTGCCCCACCATCCCCAGTTGCTCTCACTTCCTTTAATTAAACTTCCACATGGCTTAGTGCTTGGAGTGAAATCCTCAGGGTCTGGCTCCAGACCCTATGCACTTACCCACCCCACTCTTCTGCCTCTCATTGGATTGATGGCTGTTTCAGTAAGAACACAAGGTCCAGCCATAAAAGACTGAAACACCTGAGATGAAAATGTAAAGAACTTCAGCCAAGTGGAAAAAAACAAATACCACCCACCAAGTCAGAAGAACAATGACATACCGGGAAAAATGATTTGCAACAGATCTCACAGACCAAGAGCTTATTTTGCTAATATGTAAAAAGCTCTGAGATATCAATAAGAAAAATATCAACAACCTAACAGAAACATATACAAAGGATATGGGTAGGCCATTCATAGAAAATAAAATAAAACAGAAATGTCAAATATTCAGCCGTGCTCATGGTAAGAGAAATGCAAATTATTATTATTATTTTTAAAGACTGTATTTTTATTTGACAGAGAGAGAGAGATCACAAGCAGGCGGAGCAGGAGACAGAGAGAGAAACAGACTCCCCGCTGAGCAGGGAGCCTGATACAGGACTCGATCCCAGCACCCTGAGATCATGACTTGAGCTGAAGTCAGACACTTAACTGACTGAACCACCTGGGTGCCCTCCATATCCTCTGACCCTGAAATTAAACGTCAGGGAATGTGTTCTACAGATACACTTTCTCAATATAAAATGACTAACGGGCAGGGTCATTTGTCAAACCTTAGTTATAATGGCTAAAGATTGGAAATATCCAAGTGCCCGTCCATAGGGAACCAATTTAATAAATTATGGTCCATTCATACAGTGGAACGATACACCTCTACAAAAGGATGAGGAAGAACTCCGGAATGGCATGAACTGAGAGGTAAAGATCTCCAGAGTATGTAGTTAAGTTACAAATGCATGCTGCTGGATAGTTCTTATGGTATGTTACCTTTGGTGTAAAAAACAGGAGAAAAGTAAATATATATTTGCATTTCTTATAAACACACAAAGAAACCCTGGAAGGATACACAAAAACAGTGGTTCTCTGTGTGTGATGGCGGGGAGGGAAGGCTCAGAACTGGGTGGGTGGATAGGACAGAGACTTCACTCAAGGTCTTTTCTATATCTTTGAGATTTAAACCGTGGCAATATACAACCCATTCAAAAATTAAGTAAAATCTGAATAAAGGAAATAAGAGAGCATAAATGTTCTCAATAGTCTTTCACACACACACACGTGCACACACACACAAATGCACACACACCAGAATGGAAGATCCGGAATT